AAGAAAAAGGAGGCTCAGGCAAAGAACAAAAAGGAGGTTCAGGCAAAGAGCAGAAAGAAGGAAGCTCAGGGAAGCAGAAGAAGTCGTCTAAAAAGCGAGAAGGTCGACCTCATGTTTTCTTCGACATCAAAATTGGCGACAAGCCTGCCGGTCGTATTCAAATGGAACTGTTTGACGATGTAGTACCAAAAACAGCCGAAAATTTCCGTTGCCTGTGTACAGGCGAGAAGGGCATGGGTAAGCTTGGCAAACCGCTTCACTACAAGGGCTGTAAGTTCCATCGAGTTATTCCGGAATTTATGTGTCAGGGAGGGGACTTGACAAAAGGCGACGGAACAGGCGGAGAGTCCATTTACGGAGAAACGTTTGACGACGAGAACTTCAAGGAGAAGCACACAGGCCCTGGCATCCTTTCAATGGCCAATGCTGGACCAAACACAAACGGCTCACAGTTCTTTTTGTGCACCGTGAAAACCGAATGGCTTGATGGGAAGCACGTTGTGTTCGGCAAAGTTATCAAAGGCATGGATGTGGTAAAGAAGATCGAAGCAGTGGGGTCCGAGAACGGTGAAACCACGCAAGATGTGATTATTGATGACTGCGGCGAACTGTAAAGCAGGCACGAAATAACTGGCTTCATTCGGTGACGATAAGCCACATCACAGTTCACATGGAGATTTATTTGCACCAACAGTAAACTGCTTGCGCCAACGCTATTCCCACATCTGCTGACAAACTACACACATGCACAGCCTCAAAAAGCTAGTTAAAGACCCGCATTGGTAAGCTTTACTGCCCCGTTGCTGTCTGCAACTAGTCTCGGGAGGAATTCGTCAAATAACAAACTTTTCCAAATAAAATAAATAGCAACGCGCACCAGACTAGCCGATGCGATCATGCATTTTGTGCAATTCCGCCCATCGAACGATTGCTGATTAATGATTTTCACTGCTTTGTACTTTTGTCTATGCAAAAATACTTCAAAAATTGGAGAACAGTTAAAAATTTCACGCACCAGCGCATGAAAGCTGAATTCGAAACCTTGAAGGATG